TTAAAAAGATTGTTTAAAAAGCACTGAGGAACTTTGATCTGGTTCAAGAAAGAGAGGAAAAATGTAAAATTTTTAAAAGTTCCTCCTCAGCAATGCAGAGCCTGTTAGTAATTACCCATTGTGTTATCAGCACAATGATTAACTAAACCTTTTGTGGGTAATGGGCACTTCAGTGAAAACCAAAGGTTAGTGTTGACAGAGTGCCAGAGGCTTTTAATTTCTTTATAGCACATTAAAACCCAGTCCATCTTTGCCACATTTTAACCTTGTTTAGCATAAATTGTTGCACTTTAAATTCATTGTCTTACATGGTCCAGTGGAGATCACATTAAGAAGTGTCATCGCAGTATTCCCATGACCAAAACTTTTTAATCCCTCCTCCCCTTATAGCATACAAAAATGTAGTTATCGATGACTACCTGTCTCCCATTCTTTTAAAAAATATTCTGAATCATTTCACATTGGAGATTCAGAAACTAAAGTTTTAAGGAAACCTTGATAGAAGTAAATACAGTTATCTTGCATGAACTTCCTACACCTTTATTTATAAATGCCAGCTGATATGTATTTTCAAAGCCAGTGAAGCTGGTCTTGATTTCTAAGTTCATTTATGTAATAGTTTCACATCTACATGAACATATGAAAACTAATGATGGACATCACTCATGGCATGACAGACACAGGTATTGGTTTATCCAGCAACCATTTGCATATTCATCACATAGGTGCCTTCTTTTCAAGAATAATTTGCCAGCTGTATGTCTCCACAACCCCTATCCCTCTGCATTTCTTCCTGTCATGTCATAGGGAGGCGACCCAATTTAGCTAATGAAATATGTCAGGGAGAGAGTTAGGGGAATCTGAGAAATCTGATATCTCTCTTGATAGATAAATGGCAGAAGACACTTCTCCTTATCAAATGTTGTTTGCCTCTATAAGATGCCTGCAACCACAACAGCCATCTTGCCACCATGACATGCCAAACCTAAGGATCAAGCCTATGAGCTGAGGTTAGAAAAAGTCAGGGTCTTTGAAGACTTTGCTAAAACCACCTGGGTCTGCCCACTTTCAGGCTTCTGGCTGGTTAGCCTTTGATTGCTTGCATCCTAATACCTCTGATCTGATTAAAAAGAAGGTAGTGTATTACGTCCACATGTAACCCAGTTTTTACCTTTGATATACACTGAGACGTCAACAATACAAGACAGAAGAGATAGGTGAGAGGGATGGTGATGAAGAATCGGAGTAAAGGGTAAGAATAGAGATGTCTTCCCAGGACACTCACATCAGGCCTGGCTGGGCTCCTCTGCAGCAGAGAAGCTGCCTCTGCAGGGGTTCTACAGGCCCTTCTGCCTGGGGATGCCGACCTGTGGCCTGCTACTTCTCAGGAAAGCAGCCAAAAAGTAACCATCTCTGCGTTAATGTTCAAAGGACAAATAGCAAATTTCCTTATGTTTTCTACTCCTTTGTTAAAGATGATCATGAATTGGATTCACTGAAATATGATCTACTTTAATTAAAGCCAGTGACATTGAGTAAATTAGAATGTAATTGCATTTTCCATGAATTTCACACAGCCTGCATTTTACCAAAAGAAACCCAGTTTCAGTCAATGCTTGTGTGCTGATACCTGCAATCAAAGCCCTATTAAACTAAACAAATCATTGCCTTCATGGAAGTAAAGGAAGCGTAAATACAAGGCTGATTCATAAAGTTTCTAATTTCTGCTATTTGGAAAGGCAGAGTTTGGAAAGAGCTATTTGGAAAGGAAAACTTTCTTTCAAGGAAAATGTAAAGCTGGACTTCCTCCATTCTAATGACGACGTGCCCTAGAAGGCTTTGGTCTTCCTGTATGACTGTTTTTTCCCCCATTTCTATTTTGAATAAAGTGATATCATTGCAAGAGTGTAGATGTTTTACAAAAATGTTCAAGTAAAAGGAAAATCCTAAATTTGAGATTTGATCATCAAAAGAATATCAATTTTAACACAATGTGTTTTTCAAAACAAGGAACAAAGATAAAAAAAACTAAACCACATTTGGATGATAGGTAACTGTTGAGAGAGAGAGAGGGGAGCCTATCTTGGTTAAGAATTTGGGCTCTTACCAACTGTGCCAGTATCCTCTCTTTCCACGTACATGCTGTGTTACAACCTTACCATATGTCACCCTATCTCTAAAATAAGAGTGAAGAAAAATAATAGTCACCTCATAGGGTTAGTGTTAGGATTAAACTATATATATTAAATGATGGTAAAATGATCACTCATGTTTTCAGGCTCAGAGGCACGAGAACAGTCAACCACTAATATTAATATAACACCAAAACTATGTGTTGTAAGGTGAAGTCTTATTTGTGCATTTTAGTAGAGTGAGGTCCATTGATTGGAGGCTGCCACCAGCATGATCCACACTGCCTATTCAACCCCCCAGCACACCAGTTAGTCTCACTGCTTTTCAGTGCCCCAGATGGTACTCTTACCTCCAGCCAACTGGCCTGGAAAAGCCAGCTGTGACTTCACAGGGGGTTGGGGCATGAAGCTTTTGACAAATCAGCAGAAATCCACCTACATCAAAAGATCAGTGCCAGCTCAGCCAGAATTGTGCATTTCAGCAAGTCATTTTTGGAATCAGTTGCTGGGGACACATTGTACACACACACACACACACACACACACACACAGGAACCATCTATGCTGAATAAAATATAATTGAAAAAAACCTAAATGAGGACTCAAAAAAAGCCAGGGAAACTCTAGGTAGGTGAGTCAGTGAGACCATTCACATATATATGGAATTTACGTAAACTATGTGCCCTTGAGGTCAAATAAAAGCATTTTTATTGGAAATCCTCCATTAAAGAAATACAGTCTGAGTGTTGTACTTATTGTTTTCTATTTCCTTCTCTCCACTTGTTCACTAAAAACAGGCCTTTCTGTCTTGCTTAAAAGTCCAACATAAAGATACTTCTTTAGCTTCTACAGACTCTTACAGAAAGGAATTAAATAGCTTGTGAGTATCTCGACCACTGACACCTTCCTCGTGGAAATGCACCCTTGAATTTGAGCCTCATTTTGAGAAGAAAATTTTAATTTTTTTCTCCCAATCCCCAGAACTCCCAAGTGTGTCCATGTATCTCTGGCCTTATGCTAACACATGAATAAGTTAGCTGAAGTATGTTTGCACAGACACACACACATTTTCTTCTATTTTCCCTTCTCTGGGATTGGATTAGGCATGTATTAGTGCTTTCCACACTTGCATTTACACACCTTTCTCTCCTGAACTTAACATGCCCATAAGAAAACGCATTTGATGGGCCTGTCAAGCTCACCCTCTCCTCACATGAATGTAGCATCTTCCCTGAGCCTATTCCTCAAGTAGCTGTTATCTCAATAACCCAAGTAGAAACCTGGCTGTCTTCCTAAAACATCTAAGCACATTGTCACCCAAGGGTGCTCTCTTCTCTATTTCTAATGCCTTATCTTATCCCGAGTTCTCATAATCTCTAGACTATGTCAGTAGCTTGTAGATTCATCTCACTTCTGCCAGTGCTCACTTCTGCTCACTTCTGCCATACACATTCATACATACACACAGACACATGTATATGCATATGCACACAAACTCTACACAAAATTGCACACTTTGGTAACTTCTCCACTCTCTTCAAAGAGTGCCATCTTTCTAAATTCTAAAATCTAATTGTGTCAATCTGGTTTTTAGCTTTATAGCGGCTATTATTGTAAAAACTATGAATGAATCCCCTATACTCGACCCTGTAACACACATGAACACATAACAGCCAGAATGTAGCCCATACGTCAAAAGCACAATAAACTGTAACCCACAGGTCAAATCTATCCCACAACCTGTTTTTGTTACTCAAGTTTTATTGGAACACAGCTATACCCATTTGTTTATGTAGTGTCTGTGGCTGCTTTTGCACTATAATATAGTGTTGAGGAACAGCAGCAGACATTGTATGCAGCCCACAGCCCGCAATATTTACTCACTGACCTTTATGGGAAAAAAATTTTATTAAACTTGATTCTATATGATAAGACATTCTTTACAATTTGTCTAATATATATGTTGATATCTGAATATGTGACAGCCCCTATTTCGGGCAGATTGATATTCTATTTCCTATCCACAGGGATGGAGAAACAAAGGCATGGAGAGGTTATCTGTCCAAATACATCTTACAGCAATGAAGGGAGGACCCAAACCCTGGTCAGTAGGTTTCAGAACTCTTTCCTTAACTGTTGTAATTGCCCTCATCTGTTTTCATGTCTCCCCAATAATCTAGAACTATATTCCATTCCCAGAACCTTGCCCTTCCACGTGGCTGTGCTCAACACACACTGTTCTCTCTTGAAATAGCACCCTACCCAGGACACAACATCCTGCAAGCTATATGTATGCCCTCCCTCTGCCCCAAATCTTCAGTGCACACCATGCTACTCATGAGCAGCAGCCTCTCCCTCCCTCCCTCCCTTCTCTCTCTCTCTCATTACCATGCTTTAAAATTGTCATCTTGCTTTTACTGGCACAAGTAATTTTGATATTTTCTATTCTAGCCTTTAGGGAATGAAGACAATGGTCCTAAAGATCTTTTTAAAGTTCTCAGCTCCTTGACAGCCCAATCTTCAGAAGATAGAGCACACTGTCTGCCTCCATTTCTTCAACTGTCAGGTAGATAATGTCTTCTTCTAGGGTTAGGTTCCACTCTTGCAACCAATTATCCTAAGTGTGTACCATGTCTGCTAAAATAGTCTCACAGCACACAGAATCACATCTTGCAAATGAGGGTACTCATTTGCACAGTGAATGAACGAATGATTCTTAGGCCAATGAGGACTGGCCCACACAGCAAGAGAAGGCCTTGATGGAAATAGAAACAGCACTAAAACTGGCAGCTCACAAAGCGTGAAGCCTGAGTCAGGCCTCAGCTTTTGCTGCATTATCTAACAAATCGTGTGTGTAAGTATCACTGGCCCCCAGACACCCAGTACTACCTCAAACGCTGATCTCATTACATTAGCTGTTATTGCCTTCACTTTTGCAGCCTGCTCTGGAAGAAGCGGATCATTTCCTGAGGTGTAAACACAGCTTCTGATAATGCCAACCTTACAAGGTCAGTCTGCTCTCAGAAGTCCACGGGTCAGCCACAGAGCTCAGATACACATTTCCTCATCAAGATTTCTTGGAGCAAGATGAAGATACGAACTGACGTTTCTGATGGAAACCATGGAATAAAAACCAGGCTGTTTGAGATGATATCTTCAGACACCTTGTCAAACTGAAGTCACAGCAGAGTGGTATCTGGCCCTCCCAAAAATCTCAGCCATCCTTTGAGAAGGTAGGTTAGAAAATGCAATTATCTGGGAAAGTGTGGTTATGGGGATAGGAGACCAGAACAATGTAACTTCTCTCTGGACTCCTGAACTTCTATGTGAACCTCAGCAAGCCTGCCTGTTCCTCTATCTGGACACTGCATGTGAACATCTGCTCTTCCTTTATTTTTCTGTTTCTACTCCAAATATGAAAATTCTTTTGGTGTCAAATGAGTAAAGGATGTGGCCAGTGGGTATGGCCGCTGGGCTGAAACACAGATCCTGGGTGAAAAGCTTAGAATAGATAGAGAAAATTTACTATCTGCAAATCTAGCAAAACCTATGAATTTGATACTGTGTTTTCATGTTTTAAAAATGAACATTTTCTTTACAAAAGAATATGTCCCGGTTTTTTGTTATGTATTTGAATAAAGTTCTGGATTTGATATCCTGAAATTACAATAGTTTCCCCGTTCATAGTTTCCTCATGCAGGAACCTAACTGATTGCTATTGCATAAACGAGAGTACATCTGAGTTTTTAAGCAACACAAGTTACCAGATATTTTTCATCTTCTGTGAGAACTAAGGAAGAAGAGAGGTATGCCCAGAGGAGAGAAAAATAATTTTCATTATTTTGAAGATGGAATTTTCTCTGTTTTCAAATTATTAAGCTCTCAAATTTCCTCTCAGTGCCCATCAGAAAGGGGGCACCCAAAACATGCAAACTCTTCAAGTGTTTCCCACCACAAAATTGTATGAAACATACTTTCACACCATAAAATGGTGAGAAACACTTGAAGAGTTTGCCCTAAAAAACAAAATTCTTTTAAGTAGATTAAATAAAGAGATGGCCACAGGGGCATAGGAGTTGCCTATATAAATAATAAAATATTCTTCAGCTTTGTTATTCCAGAATTGTATACAAATCCAGAATTAATATTCCAGAATCTTATGAATGTTTTTGTCATATTTTCTTCCACCTTACCAGATAGTACTTGCAAATTTATGATACACTTGGATTTAAATATCTTTTAAAAAACCACTCTTGTCCATGAGAAAACAATAATTGAATGCAAGGGTCCACATACTTTTTCTGTAAGGGGCCAGATAAGACATGTTTTTTGGCTTATATGCCAGATGGTTTCTGTCACAAGTACTCAACTCTGCCATTATAGTGCAAAAGCAGCCATAAACAATAAGTAAACAAATGAATGTGGCTGTGTTCCAATAAAACTTTATTTACTGAAACAGGTGGTGGGCCAGATTTGGCCCACTAGCTGTAGCTTGCTGATTCCCGATCCGAAAGAATGACTCCCAATCTATGGTCTACTCTCATGTCAGATCTGCAATTTATAGAAAAGAAAATTCAAATCCATATGCACACCAAGGACTGTTTACTAAATAAAAATAACTTGTGTACACCTGTACTGCTCTGTCCTGAATGTACATCAAAACCACTGCCATTAAAAATAGCTTTGTTTGCCACTGGTTATCAGTCATTAGAAGTTAAATGTACAGTTATTCCCACATGAGGATCCACTGAAAGTTTCACAGTATCAAATCATATTTATACCCCAAAAGGTGACATCTCCAGATTTTCACTTGCAATTCATTTACTTCCTGCATTTCTCTGACTTTTCTTATGTTTCCTCTTGGGTAAAATGTGGTACCTTCCTCGCACCAGCAATATGCCTGAAGAGGTTCCCACTTCTCTGTAAAGCACATCCCAATACAAGGGGATGACAGCCACATGGCGCTGGCTGATAGATGGCATCAGCTAATCATTGCACCAGCCAGCCTTTATGAAACTCACATGTAAGATACTGCTCCAGTCACAGTCACAGCTGGCTCCTGATTAGCTCTCTAATGGGGGTAGCACTGAGGCAGAAAATCCCAAACAATAAGGGATCCAAATATAATTTATATTTGGCTCAGCAAATGACCTTATTTTGTATCCGTTTTACCTTCATAATTATGTTTTCCTTAGACTAATACAATCTGTTGGCACACACCATCTGACATCAGAACGGGATGTGTAAAAACGCAGGTAGGTGGCAAAGAGAAGCTGGCAAGGATAAAAATTTTGCTGTGGATACTTGAACAAAAATAATAACATCTAATGGAGAGAAACTTGACTCTACATCATTCAGAGGGTCACAAAATCAAGCAGGAATTGACTTTAAATTTCATCTGTTCTGAATGTGACAACGATGGGTTAAATAGTTTATCACAGATTATTCATCTAGAAGGTATAAAATAATACTGATAATGATGAAGATAATATTGGTGATGATGGAAACCTCTAAATCATTTTTCTGACCAAATTAGCCAAATTATACCCCCATCACAGTCCATCACAGCAATCAGTAAATCTTTTTCTATCAAGGGTCAAATAGTAATATAAAATAGTAAATATTTTTTATGATCTCGGTGAAGACACTCAATTCTGTCATTGAATGAGAGTATTTGTGTTCTAACAAAAATGTAAGTATGAATATCAAAATTTAAATTTAATATAATTTCACATATCAAGAGATCCTTCTTTTTCCCATTTTAGTCATTTAAAAATGTAAATATGAATCTCTGCCCCAGATTAGTACAAAAACAGGCAGCCAGCCAGATGCCGCCCCACCCCTACTCTATCGCATTGCCCTTTCTTACTTTAAGTCCTTATTATTATTTGAAACAATATTGTACATTTCTTTCTTTCATAAACAGTTTACTAATTGTTTATATTGTATCTACCTTCATTCAAATATCAGTTCTTCAAGAACAGGGACCATATGCATCTCTTTCAACTAGGTATCATCAGTGCCTAAAACAGTACTTGTGACAGATAGATCTTAATAATATTCATTGAATGCCCAAATGAATGACTAAATATTATTATTAGGGGTATAGTGATATGCATTTGCCACTAGCAAACTTTAAAACACCTCTACATCAAAATATATGTTTAGGCCAAGCACAGTGGCTCACGCTTATAATCTTAGCTTTGGGGGGCTGAGACAGGAAGATCACTTGAGTCCAGGAGTTTGAGAAACATAATGTGACCCTATCTCTACAAAAAGTAAAACCATTAGCCTAGCATGGTGGTGTATGCCTGTGGTTTCAGCTATGTGGGAGGCTGAGGCAGGAGGATCTCTTGAGCCCAGGAGTTTTAGGCTGCAGTGAGCCAGAATCATGCCACTGAAATCTAGCCTGGGCAACAGAAGCTAGATTCTGCCTCAAAAAACAAACGAACAAACAAAATTTACCTCAACATCACATGCTTGATAGGTAAAGGTAAGAGATTATTTTCCACATTCTGTATGTGAGTAAATGCAGAGAGATGAAGTGACTGGCCAGAGAGGACAGCTGTTCATGTGTGGGGCTTGAAATGTGGCTTTCCTGCCATATCCAGGCCTCTATACACTGCAGGAAACTGATTTCTCATGTAGTCATAGCCCTGGCAGGCACCCTTGCTCACAGGACCATGTTGCCTAAACACTTTAAATGTGAGATGCTGAATAATAAAACAGAATTTAGAAGATTTTAAAATTATCCTTGATATAGTTTGGCTGTGTCCCCACCCAAATCTCATCTTGAACTGTAGTACCCAGAATCTCCAAATGTTGCAGAAGGGACTCGGTGGGAGGTAACTGAATCATGGGGTCGGTTATCTCCATGCTGCTGTTCTTGTGACAGTGAGTTCTCACAAGATCTGATGGTTTTATGACGGACTTTTCCCTCTTTGCTCAGCACTTCTCCTTCCTGCCACCAGGGAAGAAGAACATGTTTCCTTCCCCTTCCACTATGATCATAAGTTTTCTGAGGCCTCCCCAGTGATGCTGAACTGTGAGTCAATTAAGCTTCTTTCCTTTATATATTACCTAGTCTTGGGTATGTCTTTATTAGCAGGATGAAAACAGGCTAATACAATCCTCCTCTAATAAGTTGCAACCAAAGTTTCATCTCTGGGGTCTCTGGGTTCCAGAGAGTTTCTAAGATGTTTCAGTTAATATCCACCAAGTTCTAATCAACCTTCCATGCTACTACAGTGGTGCCACTTCCACTAGGGGAAGATTTAGAAATTCCAAAGATGTAAGGTTGGATGGTAAGTCCTGATGCTCAGGCTCCAAGCAGCTATGGGTCCACATGGTCCTCGTCAGTACTTTCTCTCTTACCTGCGCTATGGGAAAGGACAGCTAAACTACAGGCAATAAACAAAACCCAGATGACTCATGAACTGCTCTCTGCTGCTCTTTTTAGCTAATTAATTCTCATAGCATTTATTGAGCATCCTCAGAGGGCTGATCCTTGTGCCATATATACTGCGGACTAATGGATATGAGGGAAAGAATATGGACTTTGAAATGAGGAAGATCGGAGTTCAAATCACTGCTGTCACGATCAGCCACATACCTGAACAAATTACCCTACATTTTAACCTCTAAAATAAGGACATAACTCACAACTTTGTAATTATTAATAGAATAAAGCAAGATAACATATTGCCCACCCCAGTTTCTGGCAATCTAATAGATATTCAGTCAATGATTGTTTCCTCTAGACCTCAAGGTACGTGTCCTTTAGTGAAGAATAAGATAAGTCCGTTTCTGACTGGGCAGTTGGAACTAGTGGGTAGCTCTTTCCCTACTGAATATGGCACCTTCATGTGTATTAACAAAGTACCCTGCTTCAAGGCACTCTCCTATTGTATGCTGGAATGGAGTGATGACTATACAGATTTTCAATGGCAACACTGTGAATGGGACCCTACAGTGGTGCAGTATACACACAGTCAACCATAAAAAGCAGTTCTTATCAAAATGCACACTGTATTAATTCAGATGAAAGAAGGATTAATACAGGCTAGACTAGTCAACAACAGTCACGTTGACAACCATGGCTTGAGTTTGATTTTAAGATGATGAGAACTGGTGGAGCAAGTAAAATAAGCATTTAGTGAGCACCATGGGTGGGGAGCCAGGAGAGCCAGTCCTTGAGTTCTGACTCAGTTCTCAGAAGAGCTCCCCATGAATAGTCCCATACTGGGTAATTTGATTGAAGAGCCACACACAGACCAGCTCCACATACAGATGAGAGCATGTGTCTCCATGCCAAACAGGTTTTTGAGAAGCAGAGAACATAATGCTGTACTTGGCCATTTCCTAGAATTCAAAATTCCAAACATTTTGGAAGTATACCCCCCAGTGAAAATGCAGTGCTGGCATGCAGACCAGAGGCTCTGCATGATAGAGGCGATCCTGGAAGTCAATACGTTTGTTCTTTTTTTTTCGTTATTTTTTTTTTGAGACAGAGTCTCTTTCTGTCACCAGGCTGGAATGCAGTGGCTCAATCTCGGCTCACTGCAACCTCCGCCTCCTGGATTCAAGCCATTTCCCTGCCTCAGCCTCCAGAGTAGCTAGGACTACAGGTGCATACCACTAGGCCCAGCTAATTTTTTTTTTTTTTTTTTTTTTTGTATTTTAGTAGAGACAGGATTTCACCATGTTGCCCAGGAGGGTTTTGATCTCCTGACCTCATGATCTGCCCACCTTGGCCTCTCAAAGTGCTGGAATTACTGGTGTGAGCCACGGTGCCTGGCCCAATAAGTTTGTTCTTAAAGCTTCTTTCAATATGACAGGGCAAATAAAACACCCTGTACATTGAGCAGTCCTAAAACTGAGGCTCACTTGGACTTTATCAACATCGAATCCAGCATGTTTATTTTACTGACCAGGGTCAGTAGGTGAAGGCAGCTTTTCAAAGGGAAGGATGTGATGAAGTATGTCAGATAATTCCTAATTTTTAAGGGGTCACACAGGAGTTCCTAAGATCAAGCTGTTTGCTAACTAAAGAACTGGTTTGTGTTTTGTTTCAGTGAAAATCTCTACCCTTGGGAGCAGTACCTTTGTGTTAACATCTCCTTAAGTGTGTAAAGAAAAACACAAGAAGAACCCGTGATTTCAAGGAAGCAGCTACACAGAGTAGATGAGTGTAGGATTTGACAAGGTCAGATCCCATTTTGAGGTGTCTTTCTGCCATAAACCACCTGATGATCTTGGGAACGCTACATGCCATCCCTAAAGTGAGTAAAATCAGCAAAATGGGAGACAATATTTATTCTGTAGACTACCTCATCTAGAATGTTCAAATCGTAGTCTGAGGAAGGCAGATCAATTTTATCACATTAGTAAAACCTGATGAAACAACAATATTTGCCTGGGATGTAGGTTGAGAGGGATCCTGGGTGAGCATGGGCTCAGTGGGAAAGTCAACGGGGATGGAAGAGAGGCATGTGCCGGGCATGGGAGACAGAGGGTGGCAGCACAGCTTTTTGCCATCACTATCATTGAGAGTGGACGTCTCTTGAGTCAGTCTGCCAAGGGAATAGGGTAGGAGCAAAACAGTATTTTGCTGTGTGTTCTGGTTAACGTGGGTCCTGATGTTTGTTTATTTATTTTTAAGATGGACTTTCACTCTTGTTGCCCAAGCTGGAGTACAATGGCATGATCTCAGCTTATTGCAGCCTCTGCCTGCTGGATTCAAGCAATTCTCCTGCCTCAGCCTTCCTAGTAGCTAGGATTACAGTCATGTGTCACCACACCCAGCTAATTTTGTGTTTTTAGTAGAGACAGGGTTTCTCTATGTTGGTCAGGCTGGTCTTGAACTCCCAACCTCAGGTGATCCTCCTGCCTTGGCCTCTCAAAATGCTGGGATTATAGGCGTGAGCCACTGTGCCTGGCCTGGATCCTGATATTTAAACACTATCCAATACTCACATATTTGCTGCATAAGGAACAAAACTGTTTCCCACGTGATGGCCTTCCTAGGAAGGTCAGTGGAGATCACCTTCCTCAGGACCCCAAAGCCATGGCTACCCAAGGCTGCTCCCCTCTGGGGTCCTCATATTTGATATTCCACTACTAGATATTTCATTCCTTTGGATTTTTCTCTCCTTGATTCTCATTAAAATTAAAATGAAAAGTCTTCTGGGAGGAGTAACACATTCAACCAAGAAGCATAAACTTTATCGAATATCCCTTTTCTTCTATCAGGACTTGCAAGGCACTGGGTCTCCTAGGTGACAGCGATGTAGGACATTTTCTCCACCCCTTCATCAGACCTGTGACAGGGGCACCAGCTTACTCAGCCCACTGCACTCAACCTCTTGTGGGAGGAAGCACCCGAGTGAGCAAGTTCAGAATCTGCCCAGCTGCTTTGGGCTTTAGCAGGAGCAGGTTCCATGCAGGCCCCATGGCAGTGCCCAGATGGGGTGCCTGCAACCCCCAAAGCCCCAGAGGGCATGTTACAATGCTCTATTAGCACTGCCATCCATGGACAGCAGTGTGTTTTCAGTTCAAAGGAGCTCTTGCCTTGTCCTGTGGGATGGCTGTCCTCCACCGGCAAGAACAACGGGCCAGTGTGACAGCCTTTTCTGGGTACCCACACTTGGTGAGTCCCAAGCTCTGTTCAGCATCCAAAAAGAATGAGGTTGCCCAGACACGTAAAGGATGGTGAAGGCAGAGAGCTTTATTAAGTGATGGAAATGGCTCTCAGCAGAGAGGGGAACTGGACAGGAGACAGAATAGGCAGGTAATCTTCCCTGAAGTCTGAACATCACTGACTGGCTCTTCTTCAATATTAAGCCTAATCTCTCCTCCTAAGGCTAGCCATCCCTCTGACATCAAGTTCTCGCTCTCCAGTTAAGCTGTTTCTCTCTCTACTGAGTCTGTAGTTTTTATAGGCAAAGGATGGGGAACAGGGCGAGCCACAGGTAGTTTTAGAAAAGGCAACATTCAATTGGTAAAAAGACATTATTCGGAAAGAACTGATCAGGAGAGAGTAGACACACAGGGACAAAAGTCCACACTTTGGGCTATGGGTTTCATGCTTTTCAGCTGGAAGGTAGGACTTCACCAGGGACCTTCCCTGTCTGCCTAGAGTTTCTCTGCCTCTTGTCTATATCAACAGAGCCCGTTGGGAGTGATGTGTGGTCAGAAAGGATAAACAATTGAGCTGAAGATGAATCTCCTAGGCTACTGCTCAATACCATGCTCAGCACAGTTCTAACACCAGTACCTGCTCAAATAGGGAATGAGAAGTAACTTTTCCATGCCGGAGCCCCCAAAGAACAAGCATTGTGTGTCCCACTTCAGTACCGAGACTCCTGCTGGAATGCGTGGGACAAGCTGACAGTGAATATCCTGGTCTCATCTTATTTCTGGCACCTCTCCTGGAGTTCCCTCCTGGAGAACCTCAGCAGCATTAAGAAGCTGGAGTTTCTTAAGCACCTGCCAGTGAATGGCAGACTCCAGAATTTCCTAAGAATTGTTCATCTGAGAACATGGGGATTAAATGTGGAGATTCTTGGAATGCATGAGGCTTTAGAATGTGCAGTCTGGGGTCCACCTCTTATAGAGATCAAAGGGTAGAAAGAGACCAAGAAAGAGCTACTACTACTACTTGTGGAGTGTGTTCTGTGCCAGGATTAATCATGCTACTTTATCCTCACAGCCTCTTCACTTGGCAGAGTTAACCATCCTCTGTTCCAAAAAACCAAAATTCAGAAAGACTAATTTATTCATAGATACCCATAGTATAACCCAGGGTTGCTGGGTTTTGGGGTATGCATTATTGTGAAAAGGTATCATTTGTAACTGTTGTACCTTGAGTTCTTGTTTCGAAAAAGTTCTAGGAAGAAGCTCAGCCCTGGAAAAAACAAAAACTGATGGGAGCCAGAGAGGCTTGAGTCTGAGACGAAGTTTGGCGAACTCCGCTCAGTACCATACTAACCTCCAAGCTTAGGAAGAAGCTTGTTTACCATTTTCTGTTCATGTGACGTATGCAGAGGCAGGATTGGCAGCTGCGCCTGTGCTGCCTATACTCCACCTCTCCATACAATGACTCAGTTTACCAGCCAAATTAAAAAACCGTGTTGACCTTTGTTAGGGGAGGCACTGCTTTAGGACCTATCCTTGGTATCCTCCTTACTTATGGCAAGTAATAAAACCCCCTTGTTAAATCCTCCTTGGTTATCACTGGACTGTTACTTGCCAAGCAATTGAACCAACCTGTTGCCTGGGTAACACTAGTAAGTGAGAACGGGTATGACTCTAATCTCCCAGACTGTCTTCCTTTCCCTGCACTGTGCTACAGGCAGATTGCACGGTAAGGCCTGGGGTATAACACACACACGATTCTAGCACAAACAAACAGAAATAGGGGCCTCAGAATTTAATTTCTTGATTATAATTCTGGTTTTTAAATGCATTTTAAATTCAATCCTTTTCTTTTCTTTTTCTTTTTTTTTTTTTTGAGACAGGGTCTCAGCTGTTGCCCAGGCTAGAGTGCAGTGGCATGATCTATCATGGCTCACTGGAGCATCCATGTCCTAAGCACAAGGCATCCTCCTACCTTGGCCTCTCAACTAGTTCAGACCACAACCATGAGCCACCATGCCTGGCTATTTTTGTTGTTGTAGTTATTCTTTATAGAACTGGGGGTCTCACTATGTTGTCCAGGCTGGTCTCGAACTCCTGGTCTCAAGCAATCCTTCTGCCACAGCCTTCCAAAGTATTGAGATTACAGGTGTGAACGAATGCACTCAAGTTACATCTTTAACAGTGATAGGAAAAGCTTCATGTACCTGATGTACCCTCTGGCCAGGCACTTCTCAACTGCTGCTGCCACAGAAGGAGAACATTGGCATAAATAATTCACAAGAGCATTTCTTGTTACATTTTCTCATACTTTAATTAGGACTCTGCCTCTTGTCTCTATCAACATATAGTATCATAGAGAGGCATGAAATGGTCTGTCACATGTAGGCCTGGAGAGCTGATGACTCACTCTCTACACATGTGTTGGATTCAACATGATCAATCATTCTGTTGATGTATTTTCACTGAAAAGAATTCCACAGAGAATAGCAAGGAGCTGACTGAAATTACTTCATTTAGGCCACTCCTGGATGGCCCCATTACAATTGCTTTCCTTTCATTTTGAAGAAGCACTAAACTTTCTTTCTTTTTTTTTTTTTTTGTGAGACGGAGTTTTGTTCATGTTACCCAGGCTGGAGTGCAATGGCATGATCTCCGCTCACCGCAACCCTCCTGGGTTCAGGCAATTCTCCTGCCTCAGCCTCCTGAGTAGCTGGGATTACAGGCACGCGCCACCATGCCCAGCTAATTTTTTGTATTTTTAGTAGAGACGGGGTTTCACCATGTTGACCAGGGTGGTCTCAATCTCTTGACCTTGTGATCCACCCACCTTGGCCTCCCAAAGTGCTGGGATTACAGGTGTGAGCCACCGCGCCCGGCCTAACTTTCAAGAACAGTAATGTGTCAGGCACAGTGGCTTATGCCTGTAATTCCCTCACTTTGGGAGGCCAAAGTGGGCGGATCACCTTAGGTCAGGAGTTCAAGACCAGCCACGCCAACATGGTGAAATCCGTCTCTACTAAAAATACAAAACGTTAGTGGGCGTGGGGATATGTAGCTGTAATCCCAGCTACTTGAGGCAGGAGAATTGATTGAACCCAGGAGGCAACAGTTGCAGTGAGCAGAGACTGTGCCATTGCACATCAACCTGGGCAACAAGAGCAAAACTCTGTCTCAAAAACAAAACAAAAAAACAGCAAAGCTGCAAAAACTGTTGACAATCAGCAAATCTCCAAGCAAGTTTACCATCATCTATTCTGATTCATTATAATCACTGAAATTTTAGGTCACACAAGAGCCATCTGTGAAACAGCCTCCCCAGATGATTAAAACACTCCTGTACAATGTACATTTACAAATTCAAAATTAATGAGGAAACATGTTTAAAAATTGACTATAGCTACCCAAGGGTTTAAAAACACTTTAAAATGCATAAAGAAATCACTTGGCTATGCAGTCCTCCTTAGTGACAAATAAGTTGCATTACTTCTCAGAATTACTCCTGCTGAATTAACTTTTCAATGTGTGGGTTATTATGGTCGCATACCAACATCATATCTCAAAAAATATTGATACAAATCATACTCCCCCCCACTCCTGGCCTCCGGGCTAATTCATTTTGCATCTTTCCAACTCAAGGTAAATGACCCAGTACAAAGCAAAGATATTCCTCATGAATGACTAGTGCAACAACAAACAAAATTGTATTCTGCCAGTGGAAATGGTTTATTGTCAGTTAGAAGTTTTTCTAGCACTCTTGGCTGCAAAGACCAAGGAGTGACTCTGTAGCATTTTCTGGACAACAGGGCCTTCTCTGTAGGCCACTCTCCTTTGCTATTTGGATTTGGTCTCTCTCCTCTCTCATCCCACTTTGCCTTCAGTCAGGCACTCCATCTACCTGCCTTTGGGACAGGAGTCTTTATTAGAAAGATAGAGCGATAGGAGAAGGCATAAGTATTGTCCTCCAAAAGCTTAGCTGATAAGTAAGAGTAGCAAAGGCAGGATTTAAGTGGCGAATCAACTCTTGAGCAGAGCTAAGTATATGCTTGAACAGCCTAGCGCTTTGCAAATGTTGTTGCATGCAATCCCCTCAACATGCCCGTGAGATTGGCAATGTAGTATGACTGCTAGAAAAGAGGCTTAAAAACATTATTTAAGCCAGGAATAGTGGCTTACGCCTGTAATCGCAGCACTTTGGGAGGCTGAGGAGGGGGGATCACCTGAGGTCAGGAGTTTGAGACCAGCCTAGCCGACAGGGTCAAAACCCCATCTCTACTAAAACCACATGGTGGCGGGTGCCTGTAAGCTGCTTGGGAGGCTGAAGCAGGAGAATTACTTAAAGCCAGGAGGCAGAGGTTGCAGTGAGCCAAGATCATGCCATTGCACTCCAGCCTGAACGACAGAGTGAGGCTCTGTCTCAAAAAATAAAAATAAAAACAAAATAAAACATTATTTAAGCTACCTCGGGTTACAGACAACACTATGACTATATAGAACTCACTCAGGTATGTGCACATTCTATGAAAATAACACCTATGAATTGGTAGTAGACAGACAGAAGCCAAGGACTGCCAATCTGATTAGATGGGGAGTCAAGAGCTCATGCATGCAGCAGGTACCTTCCACTCAGACTGCTATAGACTCAGTTATACCCCTCTTGGAATTCATATGTTGAAGCCCTAACCCCCAATATGCCTGCATTTAGAGACAGGGCTTATAAAAAGGCAATATGGGCACAATGAGGTCATTAGTGTGGGGCTTTAATTTAACAGGACTCCTGTGCTTCTAAGATGATTAAGAGACACCAGAATTCTATTTCTATGAGCTCACACAGAGAGTAAAGTCCATATGAGGACATAGCAAGAAAATGGCCTTTCAAATGTATGAAAGGCCAGAAGAAAACTGTCACCAGAAACCAAATTTCCTGATACCCCAATCTGGGACTTTTCAGCCTCCAGAACTGTGCGAAAATAAAGTTTCATTCTTTATTCTACCAAGTCACAGGGCTTGTTGTGGTGGCCGGAGAGGACTAATAAAGAGATACTACAGGCCGGGCGCGGTGGCTCAAGCCTGTAATCCCAGCACTTTGGGAGGCCAAGGTAGGTGGATCACGAGGTCAATCGAGACCATCCTGGTCAACATGGTGAAACCCCGTCTCTACTAAAAATAAAAAAAATTAGCTGGGCATGGTGGCATGTGCCTATAATCCTAGCTACTCAGGAGGCTGAGGCAGGAGAATTGCCTGAACCCAGGAGGTGGGTGTTGCAGTGAGCCAAGATTGCTCCATTGCACTCCAGCCTGGGTAACAATAGCGAAACTCTGTCTCAAAAAAAAAAAAAAAAAAAAAAAAGAGAGAGAGAGATACTACCGTGGCTCACGCCTGTAATCCCAACACTTTGGGAGGCCAAGGCAAGTGGACCACCTGAGGTCGGGAGTTCAAGACCAGCCTGACCAACATGGAGTAACCCCATCTCCGCTAAAAATACAAAATTAACCAGGCATGGTGGCGCATGCCTGTAATCCTAGCTACTCTGGAGGCTGAGGCAGGAGAACTGCTTGAATCTGGGAGGCGGAGGTTGTGGTGAGCTGAGATCGCCCCACTGCACTCCAGCCTGGATAACAAGAGCAACACTCCGTCTCAAAAAAAAAAAAAGAGAGACACTAAAAATTGAGGACAGGAGACTCAGTATGTGTGACTGTAGGTCAATGCCAGGGCGGGGCAGCACGGAGATAGCCTCCACATATGAGCAGGAGCTACAGCAGCTGCTCTCCCACCTCACTTGTTGGGGCTCTTGCAGCACTGGCAGTGCTTCTGGAAGCTGCCTTGCCATGACCCACCTCTGCTGCAAAGGACAGATGTACAGCAAGCATTCTGCCGATAACATACATCTGTACATGAAGGATGGCACCTGAACTCATGTCACATTGTAGTATTTGCTCTAGGTCTGCCTCCCCCTGTCCTGGACTATGATCCAGTCTCTGAAAGTGCCTGCATCACAATCACCCTTTTATTCCATCATCCCTGTTACATAGTTGCTTTTTAAATTTGTTTAGTGGATTTGGGCAGGGCACAGCGGCTCATGCCTGAAATCCCAGCACTTTGGGAAGCTGAGGCCGGCAGATCACTTGAAGTCAGGAGTTCGAGATCAGCCTAGGCAACATGGTCAAACCCCGTCTCTACTAAAAACACAAAAATTAGCTGGGCATGTGTTGCATGCCTGTAGTCTCAGCTACTCAGGAGGCTGAGAGAGGAAAATCACTTGAACTCAGGAGGCAGAGGTTGCAGTGAGCTGAGATCATGCCACTGCACTCCAGCCTGGGTGACAGAGTAAGACACTGTCTCCAAAAAAATAAATAATAAATGTATTTAGTGGATTGGAGGTTTGATAACTGAAAATAGGGCAGCCCTTGTCTACAGGAGGAATCAAAGAACAAGAGAAGCACCAGGGACCTGTAGGAGTGAAGCACTGGCGAAACTGTCCTGGAGAGCGATATGATCAAAAGATCTTGGAGATGACTCTAGCAGCAGCATGTGGACAGGGCCAAGGTGGGAGGACTCTCTGGAAGGCTACTGCCAACACCAGTCAAGAAACACTCAGAGGGTGAACAAGACAGCAGCTCTGGGAAGAGGAAGATAGGAGAAAGCTTGGAAGGAAACATTAGTTGTAATACTGAGTAGACAGACGCCTTCAATGATTCAACAAATATTCATTGCCTTCCAACCTTACATCAAGTACTAGGTACTGTCAGAGAGACTGCAACTCAAGAGGGAGAAAAAGCACACACACATGGTGCCTGTACCCAGTCTGCTGATAGGAGAGCCAGAAATGGATGAAATAACCACAAGCAATTTATAATTATTAGCTATGAGATAACATGCAGAAACATTGCATGGTCCTGGGCCGGGGTCGGTGGCTTACACCTATAATCCCAGCACTTTGGGAGGCCAAGGTGGGTGGATCACAAGGTCAAGAGATCCAGACCATCCTGGTCAACATGGTAAAATCCTGTCTTTACTAAATATACAAAAATTCACTGGGCATGGTGGCGCACACCTGTAGTCCCAGCTACTCAGGAGGCTGAGACAGGAGAATTGCTTGAATCCAGGAGGCGGAGGTTGCAGTGAGCCGAGATTGCACCATTACACTCCAGCCTGGGTAACAAGAGCAAAACTCCATCTCAAAAAAAAAAAAAGACAGAAAGAAACATTGCATGGTCCTATAAGAACCTACAAGAGCAGACTTCCCGAGTCTAGAAAGTTCAGCCACTCCTAGAACCCTGGGGTGAGACTCCCTCCCTTGCCAACCTGGTGAAGAGAAAGTGAATCAACACCTTTCTATACCCTTGGGAATCTACGTACTTGAAACTCAAGAACAAATAAGATTCCATTGTCTAGTGTTTCTCTAACCAACCAACTGTCTCTTAAATACACCACTGGTCACAGGAGGAACCAGAGAGGGGAGACACTGCCATGCTGTCCTGCCACGATCCCTCTTTGCTGCAGAGGACATATGCAGAGTAAGCATCCCACTGATAACAAATTTCTGTACATGAAGGATGGCACCTGAATTACCACCCAAACCATTTTGCTTCAATGATGCCTCCTTTAGCTGTTAGGAAGAGAACTGAGATTAGGTTATCAGGCATAGACTTGATTAAACAAATGTATTCATTTCAGGTTTCTGAATGAAAGTGTCGGAA